GTACCAACGTTGAAGTGAGCCAAATAGGTTAAAAAAAAAAAAAAAAAAAAAAAAAAAAAGAACATTACACGAATGGAGTGTTTTCCCACTATTGGTCTGCATAATGGAGGTGGGCACAGTGGGGAGACATCACGAAAAAAAAAGGCACGCACGGGAGAGAGTAGAGGCATCATATATGCTTCAAACCAATTTGCGCTGCTTATCTGCATAGGTGACTAATAAAAGTTGAGCTTCTGCGAACACTCAGCGTCCTTCATGAGGGCCGTGATGATGAGTTGCGTTTCCACGTTGAGCTCCAAACCCATGTCGCCAGCCTCCTTGTCTATTTCTGCGCTGACTTGCGTCCTGGTGGACTTGCTTCCTTCTGCAGCATTTTTCTTAGACGATTCGTTGAAGCCAAGAAGGGTTTCTTTATTTTTATTTTTTACTAAACTTTCGAGGGGTATGTAAGGACGAATAAGTAGAATGCCCATTTTGACCAGTTTGTCAAGCATAATTTTGAACAACTCCGAATTGCTGCACATGCCTATGTACTTTCCACTTGTTTCAACCAACACTCTGTACCTATTTAGTACCTTGTTATAAGGAATTATAAAATCATTCAGCATTCTTAACTCGACGATGACACAGGTGAGAAACATTTTGAATGGCCATGGCAAATAATTAATTGCATTGGTGAGTGGTGAATCAAACAATTGGTTAGTCGCTTCAGTAATGTCCCTAGGTACAATTTTTTGTCCTCTTTTATTTTCAAAGGCCTTCCTGCAAATCTGCAAAGCCTTTCGAATGTCCCCAGACACATTGGCCACTTTCCTTGCACAGAGCTGTATAGCTGTGTGGTCAATAATTTCTTTACAATTCTCTAAACGTTCTTTTATAATTTTTTCAATTTCATCTCCCTTATATGGACTGAATACTAATCGGCCAAATGCTAAGCGGGATCTACATCTCGGTATTAACCGTTCAGGTAAATCCATGGTATTAGAAATGGCTATTAAAACTAATTTGCTGTTTACCTTGGTGGGCCAGTCAAACAGAGTAAACAAAACCTTTTGCGTTTTCGTGATCAGATAGTCGATCTCATCGATTATAAGTATGGACACATTTCTTGTGTCTTTTTTATTTTGGTTAAAAAGTCTGTCCAGCATTTTAAAAGCGTTTAAGGCATTGGGTGGTTTTTTATTGAAGAGTTGCTTGTAGAGCACTTGGTAGGCTGCATTGGGGTGAACCACATTCATCCCGTTAATTTCGAACACGTTAAAATCGGGTAACAGTTTTTGTTTCGTCTTATGTTGAAGCAGTTGAATCACACTGTACACTGTTGCTGTTTTCCCTGTTCCTGGCATTCCACTGATGTATAAAATTTGATTGCTGCCTGACTGTTTAATGCCTGACTCGAGAAACCCATGGACTTCTTTTATTTCTTTTTCTCTACAGGGGAGATATTTGGGGACTACATCTAGCTGCATCATTCTAATGGCCTTATCTGTGGGGTCTCTTATGTTGCGTAGTAGATTCACATAATAATTTTCCTGGTCTTGTTTTATGAAATTTTTTAGATCTACTTTAGGGTTCTTTTGTCCACCTTCTTTTGGTGTACTGGCTGCTGCTATTTTGTTACCGCTTCTCGTTTTGCTACTGCTAGGTGTGGTAGTAGTGCTGCTAGGATGGGTTGTGGAGTTGCCGCGTTGTCCTTTCGCCCCGCCTGCTTCATTCTCCTTCAACTTATTTATAATACATTTGAGCGACTTATTTTTGCTATTCTTTTTATTGTTGGAAAAGGAGTAGTATAGGTCACTTGAGCCTAAGACCAAATTATCCCAGTGCTCACTGTTCTGTACGTCACATATTTTTTCTTCTCTTTCTTTTAGGTAGTGTGTGCAAAGGAATTTGTCCTTTCCTTGCTTGGACCCTTTGTCCTCCTCGTAAAGACTCTTCTCATTATACACGTTTATTTTTTTAAAAATCATTTTTGCCTCTACTATTTTAAATTCTGTATTTCCTAGTAGGTAAAAATTTCTTGTCTTTTCGTCGAGGAACACTTCGAAGTCTGCCTTGGTCCTCCTTGACTTTTGCTTCTCGCACAGCTCCCTCATATATGCTGCGTCGTGCTGGTCAATGTATATGCACACTTCTACCTCCACCTGATTATTCGCGTCGTTTTGGTAGAAGCTTGATATTTTTCCCTTCCTCAATTGGTAGTTCTTGTTCTCTTTCTTGTTTCCAGTCTGGTGAGCAGTTTTACCGCTTACCCCCCTGCTGCCTTCATCGCTAGCTATACAAAAAATCATCACGTCTTCTCCAATGCTGTACTTCACCTGGTTGATGAACACACTTTCATAAATCACACCGTCTTCGTACTGGCAGGAGTTTTCCTCCACGAGTTTTATACAAGCGCCCTTTGTCAGCTTGGCAACTTCTTCGTTTGTATATTCTTTGTGTTGTTCTCTAGCCTCGGTGGCACCTCTACCTTTTTGCTCGCTCACGGGCAGCATGCTGCTTCGCTTGTTAATGGTTGCGGCGTGTCTAAGTGGCCGGTTGCTGTTCTGCGTCTTCGTCGACGTCTTCACCCTTTTCTGCTTGCGGCTGGATCTGCCGCTACTCAAATCACTACTGTCGCTATCATCCTCCTCATCCCTGCCGCTGTCGCGGTGGTCACGCGCCCGGGGCACCCCCGTTTTGGCCCTCTTAACCAAGTTGCGATACACGTAGGAGTCCTTCGACAGGCACTCGCTTTTTCTCTTGAGCAGCACACTGGAGCGTGTCCCACTGATGACTTTCTTTTCGTCCTTTTTCTTCTCCGCTTTGCTCCTCACCGACTTGTCCCTCGTTGCGCTCCTGGTGATTCGCACATTGTTATAGGTTTCATCCAGCTTGTCTTTGTTCGACTTTGTTTTGTTTTCTTTCCCTCCCTCGACATTCTTATTCTTGTGGTTATCCTTTTCAGTGCCGGGTTTACTTTTACCGGATTGACTTTTGCCGAACTTCCCTGTGCTGTGATTTCTGGGAGATCTTCTCATGCGGTCATAATTTTGTGTGTGTTTATGTGTGTTTTGTTTTGTTAGGCTTGTAAGTAGTTCGCCCTTTCGTGGCGAGGAGTCGGAGGAGAGGAAGACGTGTGACACCTGGTGTTCGTGGGGAGGGACACGTGGACTATGTGCGGAGGAACCACTATCCGATACGCTTGAATAGGATGAATCGGGGGAGGACAAAAAGGACGAAGAGGAGGAATCGAGGCTGTGTTTCACTTTGCGCTTCTTCGTTTCTTCCGTCGTGGTGACGCTACTTATATTTTTCTTGGGCGTATCACTTCTTTCACTTAAGGGAATGTAAAAGTCTAGAGTGTTATTTTGAATTTGTTCATAATCGGGGATGCGGCGTTGCTTGTTCTTTTGGTGTTGCTCCTTCCGTGGTGTGCCGGGAAAACTGAGGATGCTGAGTTTGTTCACATCTAACTTTATGCCTCCTTTCGTAGGACTCAAAATTTCATTATCATTCAGGTGAAAATTGTGAACCTTACGCAAACGATGGCTTTCGCGATTTTCCCGAGCTTGGAAAGATTTGTGAGATTCGTAATTTTTGAGTTTTTTTTTATTTGGAGTCATTTTTTTTTTTTTAAAAAAGGAAGATACGCACAATTGTGTGTATACCACTGTGAAGCTTTTTTTTTTTTTTTTTTTTTTTTAAAAAAAAATGCAAACATGTATAATGTTGCTAAAAGTGTGGGAGGAAAAAATGGAGAATTGTTACTTTTTCTTTTTTTTTTTTTTTTTTTTTACATTTTTTCCTTCCCCCAACAAAAGTTTTACCATCTGCCTTTTGCCTTGTGGAGTTCTCACTTGAGGCACACCTTTATTCAATTTTGTGGCCAAATGAATTTCACGTTTCCCCGCGTCCGATGTAAATTTGTGGAGAATTATCCCCGACATGGAGATAAACCCCGAGTGTGTATGTTCTCCAAAGGGGTTATCCAAATTTATTATTGCATTTTAAAAGGAGCGCAAAACAAAAAAAAAAAAAAAAAAAAAAAAAACACTGCAAGATGGTAACTGCTTTTCAATGTACAAATTAATCATTGGACAGGAAAGATATTCTCAGGGGGGGGTGTATACACTTTTCTCGCAAATGCGTGACACATTATTTCTTTTTTTTTTTCGCGCAAAAACTCCTAGTGGCATTGCCGTAGACAGGCGTAGCAAACCTTCTGGGAAAAACCCTTTCCATGTGGATGTGTGTGAAGTGAGTATTATAATGGGAGGTGGACAAAAAAAAAAAAAAAAAAAAATGTATAATAAAAAAATGCGCAAAATTCCTTAATCACTTCTTAACAAATTCGTAAAAATTGAGCCAGCAAGGACATCACGTGGGAAAGACGAATGCGGGTATACCACCTGACGTGTGCTAACTTGCCCTTTTTTATACTTCCCGATTTGCCGCTTATCTACGACGCCAGGGTGTCCCAACAGGTACAGGGCAAAGGTGTGAGCAATTTGCCACAACATTGTTTAAGCAGCAGTTTGTGGATAAGTTTGTTTGATCTTTGCGGCTGCAGGGCGTACTCTGTCTTTCTTCCCCTTTTGTGAATTGAAAACAAGGACAAGAGACGTGTTCGCTCTGTGTTAAGATATATTGAAGTTACGGCTGCTGTTCGAATTCGTCCTTTTGCGATAGTTCTGTGTCGTATGGACGGCGCTTCGCCGACACGCACAAAGACCATTGGCAGCATGTGAGCTGTTCACTTCTATGTTGGTGGCAACGGGGCATATATTTATGTATATGTGCCCTTTAGGGAGAATGAAAAAAAAAAGAGTAGACCTTTTATTTTATTATTTTTTTTCTTCACAACAAGGTTAGTGTTAATAGTTTTTGCTAATCAATTTCATGTAGCAAAAAGTTAGCAACTTTTTTCCCATCACAAAAAAAAAAAAAAAAAAAAAAAAAAAAAGTGATGCTGGATGTGTTGAAAAATGTGTTGGAATGGCGGCCCACCTAAGTTGGTTACCTTATGCTGCTTCCCCATCAAGCGTGATTAAAAATTTTTTTTGTGTGTCTTTTTTAACCTCTGAATTTTGTGAGTAAAGGCAGGGAATTTCTCCCTTCACATTGATTTATCATTAAGGGGTGTGTGAATGGCACAAAAGAACGTGAGTACTACTGCCATTTTCCAAATGTGCCTTCATGGAGGCGGGAGGACATTACGCTCCAATTGAAATTTTATTACACCCCCACGGACGTACTCAATACGTATGTTAAGCACATGAGAATAAGTCCGTTCGAAAGCCTGCAATATGGGAGCGCCCTCTAACATCTTAACATTCCATGGGGGTGGAGAAACGTGGGGCGTATTTGTACGACAATTTCTTTCACAAGAGTACAGAAAAGTGAGTAACGGCATGCACCTTATAGCTGGTGTGAACAGTTAACCACAAGTATATTAACTCATGAGGGGATTTTCCCACGTGATGTATTTGCCACTACACCATTTTGCTGCGCGGACATGAGAGATGGGAACAGTTGAGGGGGGACTTTTACATTATTATGTAATCCCTCTCGACGGAAAAAAAGGACAAAAGGAACAAAATAATAAAAACCTCTTGGTGAATCTCTTCAGAACACACCTTATATGTCCCCCCCAAAAAGTAACCGTTGGACAATTCGCTCCAGGTGAAATGGCGGGATATTGGGGGAGGGAGCAAAGCGGGGGAAAATAATACCCCTATGAGAATAATATACACAATTGCGTGGTGCAAAATTGAACCTCTACTTGTGGTATTCTTAATTACGTCCAACACATCTCATATATGGCAGGAGTACAAAAAAGGGGCGAGGGAAAACGACACATATATACGCACACGTGGTAGGTATATAATGATGTAATATTTGCACTTAAAGCGGCCCTGGTAGAAATGGTATTACGATCCCACATGTTGTATTCTCTAAGCTGGTTAACCTGTGTAGGCCAAGTTGTTCACTCAGGGATAGGAGGTTAAAACTAAGTGATATGCGATGGGCAACTTTTCCTCATCTTTTGTGTTTGAAGACGGGGGCAAACAGGGTAAACATTTACCGGTTGGCCCATTTACGTACGTGCAGAATGCGCTCATATGATCAAGTTTGGGGCCGGAAAGTGAAATATATAATAACGGAACACACAAAAAAATACAACTGTATGTAACAAAGCAACATGCTACGAAAAAATAAAAAAAAAAGGAAAAAATAACATTCCACGCGGCTGTTAAGGGTTAGCAAATAAAAAGTAATGCCTCCAACTGCGAAGAAGTGATGATGAAATGAACATAATGCGTCGCAAGCGACGTTCTAGTTAATGTACTTAATTTGTTTTGCGAGTCACATTGTTCACATATTAAACGTGGTTCACGAGGAATATATTATTAATGTGATTGAGCGTACCGCAAAGGGATACCATTTTTACATGTATATTGGGCACATGGGCATGAAAACAAAAAAAAAAAAAGGGCCAAGGGCATAACGCGTATGCTAGCATATTGGTTTAATTATAATAATACCAAATTGTAAGCATTCCATGGAGTAGCCCGCATTAAAAAGGGAATAAGCCAAGCCACTAAGCGCACGAGAATATGCATATAAATAAACTGTTGCGCAGGTTTATATATATAAAAAAAATATACGATGACACGTATAGGGTATTATAACGAGGCATATATAATAATATTATAAACGAGAGGGCAAAATAAATCACACAATATCAAGTATATAAATGATATAATATATTTTGTATATGGTATAATAACATGTAAGAAATTGCGCGCCGCAAAATAGGTACATTTATGTTATTGGCATATTTGCCGGTTTGTGCTCGCTTCAATAATATATATAACGTAATGTACGTGAACGGTATTGAGCGCTTCAAAGTTTTGCCTCCTTGCTCGCATATATTGAAACGATAAAATAATATGCGGTCATGTTATCTTGCTCTTAAACCCACAAACTGCGGCGCTGTATTCCGAGCACTATGTATATATTTGCTATTTATACTACTAATAATATTGCATACATTGCCGCTACGCTTTTTAGTCATATTAAATGTATGGTTTTAAACGTACCGCATGTATATAAAGTAAGCATGTAAACAAAAAATGCCTGCTCTCAGGCCCGCTGCGCCTGAAACGCCTTGAATTTGAATACCTCTGTTTCAGCGCGTGTTTTAAGATGCAAATAAGGAAGGAATCAGGTTCACCTCAAGAAAGCATGCGCGACGCAACGCGACGTTAGTGAATTATATTTGTTATATACTATATATACCGCGTAAGCGTCGCAAAAAAAAAAAAAAAAAAAAAAAAAAAAAAAGCATATACGTAATAATTCCATACATAACGCATGTATATAAATGAATTAGCACTATATCCTCTACCCATATTTCGCGCAGTGCTAGTAAATAATAATAATAATGATTGTGGCGCGCTTGTGACGTTTTTGCGCATATTTTGTACATACGGATTATTTTTTATATATGCTGTTTACCAAGCGCAAAGATTCATTTAACATTTATTATTTATATATATAATATATTTTTTTTTTTTCCCAGCGTTATCATGTCCTCTTGTTAAGATAAAGTAATGCACGTCGTGCCCATATTTTAAATTAACCATTTCTTGCGCTTACGCAAAGATTTTATTTATGCTCATTTTAAAAAGTTTTCTGCTTTCATGCTTTCGCCACAAGGAATACAGAGCAGTATGCCATACGCAATAAAGCAAATAGCATTATATTAAGTATATATATATATATATATATAAAAATACATATGTATAAAATATAATATAGTATATAATTATATAGTATTATTATATAACATAATAATAAAGCAACATAATATGGTTTAATTAATAAAGCATATGATATTCGTAAAAATATAATCACAAACGTTAATTGAAAAAAATAAATATATTTAAAATTTACTTTAACAAGTACGAAAGAATATTTTTTACTTTTCAATTGAAAAAAGTATTCCTCCTTTTTTTTTTTTTTTTTTTTTTTTCATTTTATATACTTTCATGCAAAGCAGTTAAGAGACCTTCATATCGCGACTTAATAAAACGAACGCTTATGCGCCATTTGCTTCCCAAGTATACAAACGTACGTATGAATGAATTGTCCCCCTTATTTGAGGGCCCATGCGTATGCTTCGTATATATGTACATATGAATGCATAAAAAAGGTATGTACGTATGTACATATATATATATATATGTTAATATACTCAATCCTTACGTAAGTACGTGTCCCCATGAAGGAGTAAAACCCCTTTACGCGTCCCCACTTTAACAAAACACACGTAAGGGAAGCATTTTGTTTCGTGTTTTTATATGTACATATATGGCCCTCTTTATTGGCGAAACTTTGCCCATACAAAGTTGGCCATTCCTCCCAAAACAGAGTTTTGTTCGACGACAAGAAAACGTATGAACATACACACAAAACGTGAATGCTTTTTTTTTTTTCATCCCCTTCCCCTTTCACAGTGTACATTCTGGTACCCCTGTATACAAAAACTCTAGTTATGCACGCATTTATCGTAATATCAAGGTTAGGCAAACTCCGAACAAACAAACATACACGCTTT